TTTTTCTTTTTTTTTTTAAACAATAAATAAATTAACAAAATCGTTTTTGCATTTCTTTTCTGATGATTAGCTACCATTATTTGCACTGTATTCTTTGGTTAAATCATCAAGCTGCTTCTGCTTCTTCTCCAGGTTGTCTTGTAGTTGCCGAATTTGCTCAACATATGATGCATTAACCTGTAAAAATGACCATTTATTTAGCTGTTTGTCCGACGATCCAACTGGTTCTGCCATTTGGCAGTATTATTCAATTTATAGGTGCAACATAAATTTGGTTTGACTTGATTTTCTGTTGCACTTAACGATTCTTCTTATCCTTCCTCCTATTCAAAAAAAAAAGCTAAATTTTTGTTCCAAGAAAGGCAACAAATTATTCTTCCCTTTTCTTTCGTTGTTTTCACACGCATCAAAGGTCATCAATTAGTTAGTTGGAAGTTCTTTTTTGCTTGTTTTTGATCGTACCTCATCAGCATTTCGTTTTTTACCATCAGTAGTCTTGCTGTTTGCACCATCGTCATCATCATTAACGCCACCACCACCACCACCGCCACCTCGGATAAAATCATCATCCTTATCATCTTTCTTTTCAGTATCATTTGTTGACAACATTTTACACTGTAATTCAGCAGTATCAACTGATTGCTCGCTTCGTTGGCAGATGCTTACTTACAGCGTAAGATGGCCATCACATACGTATATCTACCGTATGTATTTGTATTTACACTTTGAACAAACTTTTTTTTTTTCGAACAGAAAAATACAAAGAAAAAAAAAGATAAGAAAAGAAAAAAATTTAAAAAAAGAGGTGGAAAAAAACAGCGTCGAATGAAGTATGTACATAAACACGTGAATGATATGCCTGCCAACTGACCTTTTCACGGAGTAATTTGATCTCCTCATCCTTTTCAACAAACTCAGACGATGAAAGAATTTCTGACCTTAAAATATACACATATACACAGACATATGTTTACAACAACACAAACAGATCATATGAGGTAGACGTAATTGATCAGTTGACGTCTATTCAGATATTAAATTTGCTGAAATGCTACTGTAACAGCCTTTAGCGAAAAGTTATGCGATTGACCAGTTCCAGTACTCTAAACTTCAGTATAGACTATCAAAGGTAAGCAAATCACCTGATCGCTTCACGCATTTCAGCAATCTGAGTTTCAGTGAATTTTTTTCGTTCGTCTTCCAGTTCTTTTGTCAACGCTTCAATTTGATTCTGTTGGTCAAGAATTGTTTTTTTATTTTTGTCCAATTTGCCTCGTAACTCTTCAATTCGATCGGTTAACAACGTAAAACTTTCTTGTTCTGTTCGATCCTAAAATCAAATTAAGATTTTTTTTTTATTGACTAAACGCAGTATCTTTTTTTTGCTTTTCTTATGCCACCAAACCTTTGATTGTTCAGAAGCATTTTGCAGTTGTGATTTCAACGCAGCAATTTCAGCTACCATCGAAAGATTCTCGTTTTGAAGAGTTTCAATTTCGTTGCGTAATCGCTAAAAAACTAGTAGAAAATGGTTAAAACAATGTTATCTTATTGTATTTGAAGAACTTATGCTTCAATTTACTTCACAAATTTCTCATTATTCATAAAGTAGCTCTCGACAATAAATGAAAATCATTAGCAATAATTAACCTCCTGCACTTCATTGACGTCCTGCTGAGTGCTGTTACCGAACTGTTCTTTCAAGCTGTTATACTGATCTTCTAGCTCGTTTAATTTTGTTGTGAATTCCTTTTTCATAGCAAATTCGCGTTCTTGCGCTTGTTGCCGTTCCTTTTCCAGCAATCCTTCATAGTGCTCTTTAGTGCTCTCTTTCTCCTTAGTTACTGTTTCCAGAACCTCAAACAAACATCGCCTTCACAGGCTCTAATCTACTGCCTGAGGAGGCAGTTGCAGTCGACGTTACAGATCAGACGCTGCTATTCCTCAGAAGCAACAAACATTCTGGCAAAGCAAAATTAGAATGATCTTTCAATCAATAACTATTCTGAAACTTACAGCTTCAAGCGCTTTAACTTGCGAGTTTTGCACCTGGGTTTGACTTTCGCTTTGGCTTTGTAAATTTTTCCTCTCCTTTTCTAGGAATTCCACTTTGCTTTTTAAGGTTTTCACCTCAGTCTCCAGATCTCGAAGCAATGCTTCTAGCTTAGTTTTAGCCATATCCAATACTTTAATTTCATCTATAAAATGCAACTGCTGGTTAAGGTTTACTTACAATTTTCTATGACAGATAAGCTACATTTGCAGCAGTAATTACTTGTTTTATGTTGCAGTTCCTCCTCTTGCTTCCGATAACGCTCTTTAGTTTCGTGCAGTTCATTTTTCACTTTCGATAATTTTCGTAACGATTCGTTGGTTTCATTTCTTGCATCTTCCAGCTAAATGTCAATTTTGTTTTTGATATTTCAGTTTTATAAGTTGGGTATAATATCATGGAACCATACGTTTGAAGTTGATCATTTTTGGTACCTTGCTGATTACTTGCGTTACCTCTTTGGAAACAGCCAACAATTCGGCTTCTTTTGCCTGTAGTCGTTTTTCAAGAGCAGTTACTTCGTTTTTGCAAACAACAAGTTCCTCCCGACTTCTTTTTGACTGCAGCTGCAGCTCCTGAAGACGATCGTGAAACTCTTCTTGCCTGTAAAAAATAAATATTGTTTAAAGTGTACTGTGAAACTGATAAATATTGTAAAAATGTTTGTTAAACAGTTTTTTAATATGCTCATTTCACTAAGCAGTTTAAGAACAGCCCTGCATTTTTTAAGTTTTTTTTCCCAAAATACTCTTCAAAGGTTTCAAACAGCTTCCTCCTCTTTTGGTAAAACGTAAAAATGCTTCTTCTGATTAACTCGTAAGTAAACCTTGCGAGTAGTTCCTCTTTCAAGGCTTCTTCATGATCCCGTAATGCTTCCAGTTCTTTAGAATACAGCATCTTTGCTGCCGTAAGTTCTGTTTCATATAGACTTTGTGCGCGGCGTAACTTCGTTTCAAAAGTTTCGCCCAGCCTTTCCCGCTCGGCTTTTAGACTTTTCCTTTCCTCTTCCAAACGTTGTATTTCAATCATGTATCTAAAACATTGAAGCACTATCAAAGCGGCAAAAAACTTCCATCAGTCTAAAATTGCAAAATGTGGAAAAAAATGTTTTTTTCGTACTACAGCCTAAATCTAGATATAGTTTAGCAGGAATACTTTTGTTCCAGATTTAAGAGTTGCGATTCTGAAAATCGTTGTTCCAGTAGCTGTATTTCCTTTTGATGCTCTTGACGTAATTTCTCCAGGGCTTGCTCTTTTTCACGCTCAAATTTATCCTGTAACGGAAAGGTGAGTTCATTGTAGCCTTAGAAGCGATATCAGAACTCAATTTTTTTATTCCTTCTTTGACTTTTTGTTGTAAACAATCACCAAATATTTTACATTTTAGTGTGAAAATAAAGATGTTCAATGAGATAAAGCACATATAAGAGATGAAAAGTTGAACAATGAAGCAAAGAAAAAATTATTTCTCTCAGCAAATGATTTTCATTGGGAATAGTTGAGGTTTTCAATAATTCTAGTCAATTTCGGCTGCCTTATTGAAAAAGAAAAAGGAAGGGGAAAAACAAGAAAATGGAAAGTAAAAAGGTACATTAGTAATTGAATAATGAAAGCTCAGTGATAGAAGTTGATTCGAGTAACTATTGTCAAAAAGTTCATTTACTGTTTCTATAGAAGATATTAACACTTAGCTAGAAAATGACGAAAAATCTCTGTCAAGAATAATGGAACCGTAGCAATTCTAAAATTATAAATGAGATATGAGCTATTTTAAGACCGTAAACTACGATTTCTTAATGATAAATTGACCGGACTTAGGTGAAGGAGTAGGATGACTGAAAGATCAAAGATCACAATTGGAATACTCACCGTGTATTGTCAAAAAAATAAATGAATAAAATAAAGTAAATGAATAAATAAATAAATAAATAACGAAAAAAGACAGCTGGGCATATGTTCATATAAAAATTTTGATGGTTTTTTATTTGAAAGAACCAAAGATAGAAGACTCTTTTGTACATTTTCCACCCTTACTATTTTTCGTTGTTATTTATTATAACAGCTTTATTATAGAGTGTCCTAAAAATCACAAGTTTCTAATACCGAATAATCATAAAACTAAAAGGAGTTTGTGTACAAGGTGTCAAAAAAATATTAGAGTTTTGTAACATTTTCAGCTACCAGCAATCTATAAAAATGTTACCCCTTTTAGCTTAACGACAGCACTAAAACTTTTGGTGTAAAATCTACAAACCTTCAGCTTCGGTAGACCAAAGCCGTTTTAAAAACAGTTCATAAGTTAAGGAGCTAATTTAATATAGAGAAAACTGTTCATTAAAATTGCTCTCAGTTGATTCATTATTAGCTCTTTATTTTAGAAAACCTTAGTAAGTTTTTCCCATTCTTTGCAATACTTCACTAATAAGCGATCAAGTGTTCAAAAGTCTCTGTATAGAGCCTAACATTTCTTTAACAGACTTGTTTATGACGTATAGATAGTTTAGACGTTTTTGAAGCAAAGGCTTCAAAGTTCATATGAGCGTCTTGATAGAAGCTAGTGATCCATATTCAAATTCAACACGTCTAAACTAAGTGATGAAGGAGAGAAAGCTCTAGCTGCTGTGCTTATGAAACAGATACCTACCTGAAGAGCTTGAAAGCTTTTCATCCTAGCTTCAAAATCTTTTTTGGCTCCTAGTACTTCCTCACTGAGAGCTATGATTTTGCTTGAATATTCCGCTTCGAGTTTCCGCTCTCTTTCAGCAACTCTTTCTCGATATTCACTAAATTCACAGTTTCAGCATCCAAAATGTTAGTCATCCCGGTAAACTAAAAACTAAATGAAAAAACTGTAATTTTAATAGATAATAATAACTAAATTTGTTCACCTGAATGTTCCCATAACGTTATATTTTTGCCGTTCATATTCAGCAACAGTGTCTTCAAGAGTTTGAATCTTTTTCTTCAACTCAGTTTCTCGGCCTCGAAGACCACCTAAGTGAACAATTATTTCAGGTAGCACTTATTTCACTCGTTTTAAAAACAAATACACCCCCGTGGTTGAACATATCAGTTTCAACATTTTAATCAAAAAGTTTTTTCTTTAGAAAAGATAAACGAGCAAACAAGTCTTAAGCTGTTTTTTTCTCATAATGAAATTGTCTTTCGTACTATATACTTAATATAAAATACTAACAGCCTTACTACATAACAGTTTTATTAATGGCTTTCTATATCCAGCTTTCGCAAGGAGAATTACACTGAACAGCTCCTGACGTATAAATATAACTAAAACCTTCAATAATTTTACATGTAGAAAAAAGTTTGTTTATTTTTTTTT